TAACACTCCTTCCCACACTGCACTCCCATTAACTCCACACTGTGAAGTGTACCAGCTGTGAGGTTAGATCCTAGTGTGGCATTAAACATATCAGGCCCAGACTGTGTTGATTCCTCATTGAGGTCAAAACCTGCCAGGAACAGCTCTTTATCCACCACCTGCAGGAAAATAGAAACCACCATCAAAAAAAATTTATTATTTAATGTATTTTGTAGCTTAAGAAGCAAATTGTGGCATTGCTTGCCAGTTGTGATCCATTACCTGTCCGACCATGAGGCTCATGAGGCTGAAGATCCCCACAGAGACATGTCTGGATGTCCCCATGAGGAAGTAGATGATGTTGGCATAAAATGAGGTGTATAAACCATAGATGGGCTTCACTCCTGCCAGTAGGCAGTATGCAATGGCCTGTGGTACCAAGATGATACCAACAATCACACCTGACATTGTATCGCCCCAGATGTACTCTCTGAGCTTATATTTAGGCAGCCAGCTCACCACAGGGAAGAACCCGGTCAGGGTGGATCGGACTCTGGGCACGGAGCAGGTCACACCCTGCTTCAGCTTGGATTTGAGGACTGAAACTGTGGGCTGGCGCTGGCGAACGCGCCGTTCCAGGAGAGGTAGCGGGGCAGGTGTTGTCTCCTTGGTGACCTCCTCCATGGTGTAGGGAGGGAGAGGAGGCAGCACGGTGAGAGGAAGAGAGAGGGGAAGTGGATAATGCGGTCAGCTGTGTGCCTGGGAGATCATCATCAAGGAAAAATGGGGGAGGGAGAGAGGACAGGGAGATAAACAGGACAGACAGGGAAACAGTGAATATCAGTGGAGATGACGTCATTTATCCTCTTCTCAGAGAGGTGCCAAAAAAGGTGTCAGTACCCTAACTGAGCACAACATAACCCTAATTCTTTTGGCGTTTAATTTTTTTTTTTTTAACAAGGACATTATCAATGCTGTTTTCTTTACATTAAGATACCTGTGTTATTATAAAACTGTGCCAAAGCGATGGAAGAACTAAGAAAATGTCTAAATGTGGACAGCAAGAAAGCCCATGATCGCTGTCCCCAGGGAATCAATTTTTGTGCTGCTTCTGAAAAATAGAAATCTCAGTCAACCACCACTGTTGAATGGATTGCCATTTAATTTAGTAAAGTAATTCATGGTCCCCAGAGGATAAATCTTACTGACTTTGGTGATCCCCTGACTTTTCATCTAGTGCCACCTGGAGGTTGATATTTTAGATTTTAACTATTGAATGGATTGCCATGACATGTGACACATGTATCCGCAGTGCCCAGATGATGAATCCTAATGACCTTGGTGATCCCCTGATGTTTCCTGTAGGGAACAGGTCAAAGTTTTCATTATCCAGTGAAATAGCTCAACATCTACTGGATTATCACAAAATTCTGCTCAAACATGCATACTTCCCAGACAATAATTCCTAATGTCATCTCCTGACTTTTCCTTTAAAGCCCCATTATGTAACTTTTCTACCTTAAAATAACAGGCTCAAAATAATTTTGATGTTACACTGACTTATAATAGTAATAATATAATGGTGCCTCTGTTATTTCCACACATGCTCCTGTTCTTGCACTATGTAACTTTTGGCTCTGAGACAGAACAAGTGCATAACGCTTTATGGCAGTAGTCATACAGCATGATTTCACTGATTTTGGAGAAACTGGATTGTACTTTATGAAGATAATCTTTTCTGGTTTTCCTTCTGATGTCCTCTGGCTGCTCTGCCTAATCTCTCATTGATTTATAGTTTCCTGATGGACAGTAAAGTAGTAGGTAATATTAGCTGGTTTTCTTTGCTTTGTGTTGTTGCACTTGCTTGATGTTTGGTTCTGTCAGAAAAGATATCGAGTAAGTAATGTAATCATAACAAATACATGTGTACAACTGTCCATATTTACAACACTACAACACGTCATACAAACTCAACAATCACTGATCACTGATAAAATCCCAGCTCTGTTTCTGTAAGAGTTAAATTAGCCAAGTCATACAGTTGTTGCATTGCAAATATGGTCTAAATTCTGTTTCAGTGGGCTTCCAGAGAAAATTATACGCTACTATGAAGCTGGTCTACTGGCTTGTAATAAGTGACATAACCTATTTAATTAAACACACATCATGCAATTACAGCAAGAGATCAACACTTTTATGACACTTATGAATGAATCTTGTGATTGGTGGGTTGCAAGGCCTTTTTCATAAGGTTAGTTTTCAGTAGCAGCTGCCTCAGCTTAGATAACCATGTCACAGAAACCATAAAA